AAATATTTATTTATTTTTATTTATTACATTTATTTATTGTGTGTGTGTGTGGCCAGCTCAGCCCACCAGGGGGCGGGGCTGGCTGGCATGCGGTGCTGGGGATCGAACCGTGGTCCCTGTGCTTTGCCAAGCTTGTTTCAAGTAGGTGCTTTAGACCACTGAGCCATCTCTCCAGCCCAGAAGTAGAAACTTCTTAAAGTCATCTCTGCTGCTTGACCTTAAGTTTGTAAAACTTATTTCAGGAGGCAGCAAGGACTTTCTGGTGAAGACGCAGGCAAGTGGCACCAAGGGAAAGTGGCACTTGAGCTCTGGATTCCCACCAGCCAAGGCCAGGGCTGCCCTCCACACCAAGCCGCTGCCCAGGAACGGGCTCTCAGAAGTGTAAAGGAGGCCAAGATGTACACTAGGTGTTGTGAAACAGGAAGAAAATGTTCCAATGGGGAGGGAAGGAGAGTTAAAAAATGAAAAGAGAAGGAAAAATGCAAACAAGGGGCCAGGGAGATAGCTCAGCACCCTTAGTGCCTGCCTGGCAAGTGCAGGGGCCTGAGTTCAATCATCCGCACCAAAATAAAGGAAACAAAGTGCTGTTCAAGGGGTCAGGAGGAGAGGCTGAGGGAGAGTGGAGAAGGGGAAGGAAGCAAGTCACAGAGTGCAGGCACAGACGCTCCGTGACGGAGCCACTCCTCACTGTGGGTATCTGAGATGGCCCAACGGAACCTAACTGGAAGGAAAACAAAGGACTGGGCTTCTGTGTGCACCACCTTGGACGGGAAGGCCAGGAGGAGCGGCAGCCTCGCACAAGCCCGCATGCTGTGACTCCAAGGCTCTCCTTCCACTTCCTTCTTCTTTTTTTCCCTCTAGATTTGTTTCTTTTTTTTATTAATTTATTTATTGTGTGTGTGTGTGTGTGTGTGTGTGTGTGTGTGGCCAGTTCAGCCCACCAGGGGGCGGGGCTGGCTGGCATGTGGTGCTGGGGAATCGAACCGCGATCTCTGTGCTTTGCTAAGCTTGTTCCAAGTAGGTGCTTTAGACCACTGAGCCATCTCGCCAGCCCTAGATTTGTTTCTGACTTAGTCAAATGGCTGATCCCAAATAAAAATGGTTTCACACAGATTTTTAAAAGGCCTCTAACAGTAAAGTACCTCTGATATTGCAAAGTACTATTTCCACTAAAAATTCTCAGCTTACAAACAATGCAGTTGGAGGGGTTGGACACATCCCAAGAGTTCTTTTCCTGCTGATTTCTGAAGAACAGAATACCTTGATGCGCATGGGCCATTCAATACTGTTAGCACAGGGTTTGCTTATTAATGTGTCACCACACAACTTTTATCACTAAACTTAAATAACTTATATTAGTAGCAGCAACAGAAATACCAAACTTAAAAGCCATCACTTACTTTTGGAACAATGGGCCCTCTGCTGCCATTTCTGCCTCGATGGCTGGAGAGCGGGAAGACCTGGCCGAGCGGGCCTGGGCGCTCTGCGCATTCCGTGGCTATGGCACCGACAGCACTCGCTGCCTGGAAAGTGCCGGAGTAGGGTGCAGGGCAGGGGTGGTAGAAACCCATCACCTGGGCGCAGGGCGCTGGCATCAGCTGGTAATATGTGTACTCCGCAGAGACCGGTGGCTGGGCGGATAGGATGGGGTAGGCCAGGTATGGTCCAGTGGGGCCAGGGCTGGGCTGCTGCCATCGGATGTCACTGTTATACAAAGGAAACTGCCTGCAAGACCAAATCCCAGAAGAACACAGCTATTCACAAATCTAAAATGATGCAAAAGCCACATCTCTTATTATCTTTTTTAATAAAAGAAAACATATAGAACAGTGGTGCTATAATAAGAAAACAAAGTTACCACCAGCATGTAAGTTTCTCTGCAGTAATTAGAGATCATCGTGTACCTGTAACTACTACTTAAATGGCAAGAGAAAGGAATCCAACCCGAGAGTCCAGGTCCTCATCTGGAAAGCTGCCCCAGCCTCTTCCAAGACATCTGTGCCTAGCAGTGAAGCACCCAGCTGCGGGTCTCCTGGTGGAGAAAGCCACTAGGCAGGTGCATCCTCCGCCCTCACTGCAGGGCTCTGTCCCGGCCGCCCGCCTCTCCTACACTCCCCAACACAGCGCCAAGTCCGGCTCTTCACCAGCTTCTCCCCCCAACACAGACCAGGCTCCAGGTCTACGCAAAGAAAAGGAGAGAAGAGCAAGCCTTCACACTGACATCTCCTCCCAGGGCGCATGAGAGCACCGCAACTGGGCACTTCCTACTTCCGGCCTTCCAAGCTCCTCGTGGAAGGTGCCGAGAGTGAGGGGTAGAGGCCAAGCGGAAAAATGCTCACACCCTTAACCCCGAAGTATTCAGTCAATCTGCTGGCTGGCCGAAGTGTTCTCAAAGATACCTGATATGGCAAGGGAACACTTGCCACACTGCCTGGTAGGTCATTTAGTACAACAGAAAAACAAGATTATTAAATTTAGTTTACAATTCACTTTGTACATTACCCAAGAGGTTGAAGTTTCGATGCAATGCTAACCTCCACTGGAAGGATCCCTCAGCCCTACTGTTCACCCACCCTTCAAGCCAGCTGAGAATCTCAAGAGATGGAGCTCAGTGCAAGGGCCCCTGGCTCAATGCTTTACAAACATCTCAGAATATTAACTTGTACATTTAATACTTGAAAGGTAGTTTAGAGGCCTCATAAATCACACATCCACATTTCCCAAAGAACGCACAAAGGCACATTGCTGGGCCACAGTTATAGCTGTGCGGAAATTCGGACTGTTTCAACCCTCAGGGACAGTTGGGCAGAGTGCAGAGACAGCCGCTGCCTCATCCAAATCCCACACACGGCACAAATACCATCTGCCATGTGCGGCATCGCTTAAAAAGATGTAGCACACCTCTACACAGCAGCAAAATGAGCTCTTGCACACCAGTCATATGCCAACCACCTGAGGAGGGCAAGCAGGGCCATCATGACTCACCAGTCATGCCCAGACCAACGAGTCACATATGGCGTGAGCTGCAGGCATCCTGCAAAATGTTGCTGCTGTGGTCGCAGCACAAGCTAATGTCAGAGTCCAGAAATATGTGTAAAGCAACTGTGAGCTCTCCAAACTTAAAGCCGATCCCTCGGTACTTCCTCATGCAGAGATTGTCATCGTGGTGTGAGATTAGATATCTAATCTCAAAAGAAGGTTTCTGAATATTTCATTTTTCTCTTTGGGTCTATTTGTTTCAAGTACATTTCAATGATTTCTAATAAAAGGGACATACCAAAAAGAAAATCCTATTTCCTTTTGAAAGAATTAGAAACTAATCCATGTTTAAAATGTTCAAGGTGGGGGCTGGCGAGATGGCTCAGTGGTCTAAAGCACCTACTTGGAACAAGCTTAGGAAAGCACAGGGACCACGGTTCGATCCCCCAGCACCACATGCCAGCCAGCCCCGCCCCCTGGTGGGCTGAGCTGGCCACATACACACACAATAAATAAATAAATAAATAAATAAATAAATAAAAATTTAAAATGTTCAAGGTGGAGCTAGGGATACAGTCAGCAGCAAAAGCGCCTGCCTGGCAAGTGTGAGGTCCTATATTCAATCCCTGGCACTGCAAAAAAAATAATACAACATAAAATGTTCAGAATATTGGAGTGTGGTGGTCCACACCTACAATCCCAGGACTCGCTCCAACTTCACTGCCAGTCTGGGTGACATAGTGAGTTTGAGGCCAACCTGAACATAATGAGTCAATCTCAAAAAAATGAAATGTTCAAGCTTTTTATTATTGTCTTTCTTACTTCTTTTAAAAAGTAAACAGAAAGCAGATTGATGTTTATAAGTGTGCTCTGCTACATAACACAATCAAGAACACAATGACAAAGTACCTATTGGGCTGGTTTTCCTGAACAAAGGGGTAGCAGGTGATCAGGTAGCTGGGGATGGGAGTCGGCTCCACACCAGAAATGCCTCCCCCGTCGCCGCCGGAGAGGGCCATGGGGGTCAGGAATGGGTCCAGAGTCTTCTTCTGAGGGGTGAACGGCTCTACCTCCGCAGAGAGCTTGACATTCTTCAAAGAAAGGCAAGAGCAATGAGTAACACCGCGACGCAAGCGACAAGTCAACAACAGGACAGTTCGCCCACACCCGGTCCCCAGGTCTCTCTTCAGAATTCACCAGACCCACAGGCCGAGCAGCAGCATCAACTTGAAAGAGCTGAATCATGATGAAGTTATATGCACCAAGCCACCAATAAAACGGGAAAACTTATCAAAGATGATTACATTTCAATCATCTCTCTTGCGTAACAAAAGCTGCTAAAGCAATCAGAGGACAAGGAAGTCATATCTCAGGGTCTAAAAATAAAGCTGGTAGTTAGGAAGTCTAACTACAGACAAATCAACATGTTTTTAATTAATTTTCTTAGAGAAAAAAAGTCATTAAGCAGAGTTTTAAAAAATAATTGGATTTGTCTGAGTAGTCTAAAAGACAGTCTATTTCTGCCCATCTAAAGAAATAATCATTAATATTGTTAGGTTAAAAGGAGAATGTCTAAAGTGAACCAAAAAGTACCTCACATATGGGGAAAAAATTCTGGTTCACAATTAAACTGAAGAAAAAATAGGAATAGCTTCAGTTGCCCAATAGATACTCGAGCAAACTAAAGTGACCCACAGTACATACTCTACTGAGTTTCCTTGGTGCCTTTTCTTAGAATAAACCCACAGAGACTGAAGCCATAAAAATTACAGTACTGAGGGATGCAGAGCTAGGTCATGACATAGATCTAAAACAACAGCACAGGAATCCTCAAGAAGAGAGACCTACAGCTGGGAAGAGAATGCAAGGCAGCCTTTGGGGTGCTGGGTGAAGCTCCATGTCCTAGGGTAGGGTTTACAAGGTGTTCACTTAAAATGATTTATTAAGTGGCACACTGGGGGCTGGTGAGATGGCTCAGTGGTCTAAAGCACCTACTTGGAACAAGCTTCGCAAAGCACAGGGACCACGGTTCGATCCCCCAGCACCACATGCCAGCCAGCCACGCCCCCTGGTGGGCTGAGCTGGCCACACACACACACACACACACACATAAAATAAATTTAAAAAAAAAAAAAGTGGCACACTGGTTTTCACATAGCTTTCTGTATGTTATATTTAATATTCAGAATTTTTAATTATAAAAAACTACATATATCTGCAAGTATATTGAACACTTTTTTTTCCTCCTTTTTTTTTAATGGAACTGGGGATTGAACTCAGGCCCTTGCCCTTGCCAGGGAAGTTCTTACCCTACTGAGCCATCTCCCCAGCCCCCAAGAACTCATTTTATAAACAAGTACAATACAAGCCAATGTTCTAACTACTTGAGACAATTACCCTACAAGCAACGATCCCAACCAGAACTTTTCCCTAACAACTTCACTAGAATAATATCTAATAAAAGCTCCCATAGTTTCAACACCACATGGTTTCAAAAGTCACTTATTGTGACTTTCTGGTCTTTAGTGTCTACTGTTTATCAAAATGAATCACCTTCTGTACAATTTTTATTTCTCACAAAAGTAGAAACAAATCTAGAGGCAAGACTTGATATGTTTAATATATGGTCTTTTTCAGGAAAAAAGTCATCTCAGGCCGGGGAGATGGCTCAGTGGAATAAGCACTTCCATAGCAAGTGCAAGGGCCTGAGTTCAATCCCTGGTTCCGCCAAAAAAAAAAAAAAGAAAGAAAAAAGTCATCTCAAAAGAGTCTACTGGAATTGCATGGTGGTACATCACGTAACCCCAGCACTCAGGAAGCTGACGCCAGAGGTCTGCTGGAGTCCGAGGCCATCCTGGGCTACAAAGCGGGTTCAAGGTCAGCCTGAACTGTACAGCAAAACTCTGCCTCAAAAAATACCAAACAAACAAAACAAAATAACCCCAGTCTCCTGTAAATATTCAGAAACACTCACAAAAACTGAAGGAGAGGGGATAGGAAGAGACAGAAGTCTAAACTAATGAACAGTACTAACTCACACCCTTCCTCTAACCTGACTTAACTTAGAACTCTAATTGGTACCATTAAATCGAGTCTGAAGTCATTACAGTAACAACACAAGTAGTTGTAAACTGAAGTTAGTGTCTTGCCTTTAAAAGAAGGCAAAAACAACTTCAAGTGCCAACAATGTAAGTTAGGAATTCTCTGATATTCACCAGAACTCAAACTTACTCATCTAGGGTAGTAAATGGAACATAAATCATCAAACTAGTAAGTGCTTCACCTAGTAGGGGAAAAAGCTGGCTTTCAACAATAATCACAGACAACGGAAACTTGCTTTATAAAGTTCACTTACGTGTGTGAGAAGAGGGGAAACAGGTGACACTTTAACTGTAATAAAAATAGAATTTTTAGGATTTATTTTAAAAAGTCCTGGGCTGGTGAGATGGCTCAGTGGTCTAAAGCACCTACTTAGAACAAGCTTAGCAAAGCACAGGGACCGCGGTTCAATCCCCCAGCACCACATGCAGCCAGCCCCGCCCCCTGGTGGGCTGAGCTGGCCATACACACACACACACACACACACATAAATAAATAAATAAAATTTAAAAAAAAATAAAAAATAAAAAGTCCTTTTGAACATGAGAATTTTTAATAACTTCATAAATTAGACTAATATACATTAGGTTCCTTTTATTTTTTAATTTATGTATTTGGTGCAGGGTCTCACTACGCAGCTCGGACTTGTAGTGACTCTCCTATCTTCAGCTTCCCCAGAGCTAGGATTACAGGTGTACGCCACCACACTCAGACTCCGGTGCTCAGTGCACCTTGGGGTAGGGCCGGCGCAGCAGGTGGTGCTGGGGATTGGCCCCACTCTCTGTGCTTGCCTATAGTCCGCTGAGCTATCTCACTGGCCCTATTAGTTTCCTTTTAAAAAGCAAGAAATAGAGGACATCAAATATTCTAAAATGAAAAATAGAGCCATACTAAGTAACTTTATACAAAATGAAATACATAACTTAAAAATAACACTTTGACTAGACTGCTCTACCCTCAAACCAAGTAATCAATGACTTGAAAACAGCACATTCAAATTCCTGTTTAGGGCAAAGCTTGCAGCCAACTTTTACACCTAGCTCCACCTGCACTTTATAAAAGAAGTTTATGGATGTAGGCAACCACTGTTGCAAAGTGTCACACATCATTTACAACCATGCCGCTACACAGACACAGTATACATCTCCAGATACCAAAGTCTGAATTGGATTCTATCTTTAGTGCACTGCATAGATGAGAGTTGAACAATAAAACTCCCAAACGCTGAGATGAGCTTTTGTTTTTTAGAGAAAGAGAGGGAGAGAAAAGCTGCTAGCGCTGACAGCTGCACAAACAGAAGATGTCACTGGGAGGAACAGAGGAGCAACTTGCTCCATAGTTATACCACCATATGGTCTCAAAGGTCACTTCTTGTGACTGTGTCTTCAGTGTCTGTTGCTGATCAAAGGGTACCACCTTCGATGTTCAGGCCCCAAACCAACAGCAAGATAACAAATGATTCTTAAATTCCACACGAACAGAACTACACAGATAATACACCAGGTAAGTAACAGATTCTGGCAATACTGTACTAGGAGCATAGGAAGTAGAAAACCATCTTGTAGTGACAACTAGGCTAGGCAAGTTATACAACAGTATTCCTCTGCTTCGCTATGTTTAGTCTCTACTTCTGCATGGCTTATTTTGGTGGAAGATCAGAAATGTTACTGTTGAGAGTTCTTCCTTAAAGAAAATATAAATATGGAACAAGTGTGTGCTGAACACTGTCTGATCATTTTTGACCTATCTGCTTCAAAAAACTCAACCATCTACATGGTAAATATATCTCAGAAATTTCAGATTTTTTCAAAATTTACGAAAACTCATAAATTCGAGAAGAATTTATCAGAACCTTTTTTTTTTTTTTTCTGGAACCAGGGACTGAACTCAGGCCCTTCAAGCACTTATTCTACTGAGCCATCTCCCTGGCCCCCATCAGAACATTTCTAAGAAGCTGGGTGCAAGGGAACATGCCAATAAAGCTGGTGCTAGGAAGGCCGAAGCAGGAGGTGCCCTGCAGCTGACACTGTCTGAAAGACAAGGCTGTGAGCCTGGGAGAGGGGTTAACAAGGGTTCACTGGCGCAGGCCAGGACAAAGGCGGCTTGCTGCCCCGAGGATGCAGCAGCAGGGGAGGAGGCCAGGCCAGTGCCTGCCTGCGGCAGCGCAACAATCCCCCGCACTAAGGCGCAGAGCAGTGACACGCGCTGGAGTCACAACCGCAGGAGAACACAGCGGGCCTGCCTCCGCAGAGGCTCGGCGCCCCCGGGAGGGGCGGCGTGGGCGCCCCCGCTCCTCCGCCAAGGTGAAAACGTGCTCCGTCAAGCCGAGATTTTTCTACGCCCCGCACCAAGATAAAATAAGCGTCTCCAAGGAAAAAGGACCTGCCACTTGGCAGTTTCCGGAGGCTTCACTTGCACTACAAGTCTGCCACTCCATGGGGCAAACGCAGGAGCCCGAGAGGGGCGGCTCCCCGCTGGGCTGGGCTCCTGCCGCCCCACGGTCGGGTTTCAGGCTACCTAAGGGACGGACTGCCTTTTACATTTGCCATTTTCTCCAGTTTGAGGAGGCCGCGCCCCAGCTTCCTGCCCTGAGTGGGCAAATGCGTTTTCCTTCCAGATGTGCCCCCAGAGGCATCTGAGACTACACATCTGCCTCAGAAAACAGTGGTGGCCTCAGGTTTTCTTTTGTTGCTGTTGTTACTATTTTTTCAGTAAGACCTAGCAGTCTATTTTAAAATTTTTTCTCTGACCTACACGTTTGAAAAGGTCTTTTAAAATGGCATTTTCACTAAAAAGCATTTACTGATTACAAAAAAAATTTTAAGCACCTCTTACAAAATATAAATTTAAAAATCTGGTAAGCTGAGTAATATATATAACCCCAACGTAAGGGTCAACTGCAGTGCGTATTACTAACAAGCACTTTATAGTAAGTTATCTAAAACAGTGGGCCTCAGTCTCCAGCAGGCTGGGCTCCAGGGCCCACAGCTCACACACTACCACGCAGGCCGACACAGGTTGCCTTTGTAAAGTGGCACAGAATTTGCATCCAACCTTCGCACATCTGCCTGTATACTTACAGCTCCCCTAGACAGCTTCTAATATCTAGCACAATGCAAATGTTACCTAAACGGTTGCTGTACTGACAGGGA